GTAGAGAAAATATAATAAGAACAAAGAATTTCTAATTGTAGGAAATGGAAGGATTTATACTCCTTGCAGACAGCTGTTCATTTTCCATTCTTTTATAGAGTTTTTGAGGCCACTTGGAGGTTGAGCCAATTGGCTGCAGCCAAGAAAGTTCCACACACATTTGCATTACTCAGGTGACCCTGAGGACACAGATAAACCTCCAGACGGGCTTAACGACTCACTAAAAGGAATGCAAATGACCAGCTGTCTGCAAGAAATATAAATCCTTCCATTCCCCCACCATCCAGTCAGAGCTGGAAGAAGCTCCTTGGATGAGAAGTGAAACGTCTTCAAAGAAAAACCAGAAAGTCCAGTTGCCTCTTGAAAAAGCACTTTTGGGACATCTATATGTTACTAAAATCTCTTTTTTTTATTGAGGGGCTATGTCATAAACTTTTTCAAAGGCATCTGGACTTTCTGGTTTTCCTTGAAGATAGGCAGATTAACAGATTAACAAGAGTTGGAAGGGACCTCGTAGGTCATCTAGTCCAACTAGAGGACTAGTCCAACTAAGGAGCCTGGTGGTGCAGTGGACTAAACTACTGTTAAAGTAGCACTTAGCTGCCAGCTGCCTGCAATTACTGCGAGTTCAATTCTCGCCAAGGCTCAAGGTTGACTCAGCCTTCCATCCTTCCTAAGGTAGGTAAAATGAGGACCCGGTTTGTGGGGGCAATAAGCTGACTTTGTATAAAATATACAAAAGTATGAAGGCTATTGCTTAACACATTGTAAGCCACCCTGTGTCTCCGGAGAAGGGCGGCATATAAATCAAACTAATAAATAATAATAATAAACTAATAAACTACCCCCTCCCCAAGATGTTTCACTTTTCATCCAAGAAGCTCTTCAGTTATGACTGAATGGCTCCACCATTGAGTCAGAATGGAAAAAAGCTTCTTGAATGAGAATCGAAATGTCTTCAAGGAAAACAAAGTTCAGTTGCCTTTTGGGAAAGCATCTTTGGGACAACCATGACCTGGATGATTGAGAATCTGCATAGACGTTAATTGTTATGACCACTAACTAAGCAAAATGGTGCATCATATGACAACAGTTTTTGAAGCAATGTAACCCAAATGAGCTAACTTACAGAATGTGTCCAAAATCCAGGACTAATGAAATTTGGGGAGCTTGTGGCTACTTCAGTGCTTCTGGCTGCTGCTGACTGCTGGGCTGGATGTCATTTTCATTTTCAATGTCCTGTGACAGTTTTCCAGGCAGTTTTACAATCCCTTGCTCCCTTCCCCTTATCCCACAGCAGCCACTTAGCTGTAACTCCTTGGAAGAGTAGGGGAGCGTATGGTAGTAGGTAGTAGGTAGGTAGGTAGGTAGGTAGTAGGTAGGTAGGTAAGGTAGGAAGGAAGGAAGGAAGGAAGGAAGAAGAAGGAAGGAAGAGGAAGAAGGAAGGAAGGAAGGATTTCTAATGCCCCTTGCCTGATTCCCAAAAGTAAGGAAATATTTCTGAAACAATGACTCAACCGTGCATAGTTACCTAGTTTCACTCCATACTCATTTCTCATAAT